AGAGACTTCATCTTGTATGCTTGCTTTGTGTTGCCCTGTGATAGTGCAGCAAGAGGGGACCCAGGAGATTATAGTGTTGTGCTTTTGGATTTCCCAGGGTCCAGAACATTCTTTGTTCCACATTTTCCCCCTAACAAAGCATAGGAACAAACAATATCAGAAGCATGTCTACGTTTCTTTTTGCAGGAAGCATGCCTAAGGAGGCCACTGTGCTAGTTGATGTATTTGCCTGTTGAATGCCCTAAAATCTGGCCTGAAAATACTTCAAGAAGATGGTTCAATGACTGGAATTTCTTAGGGAATGAATCCCTAAGAAATAAAATATATAAAGGAGAAATCATATATAAAAGTTCACCCACAATACATGCATGAAATGCAACCTACGGTGATGGCTCCTAAAAATCTTTAATTGTCTTAACTGCTTCAGGCCTGGTGTTTTTTGTGGGGACCAGGAATAAATCTCCACAATGGAGCATGGCTAGGGGCTGCTTCAAGTTGACAGGCAATATGTTCCAACCATACAAAACACTAGATGGCACCCACATCCTGTGTCCACAAGGGGAATTCCTGTGAGGATGGGAAGGGTTGGGAAAGAGCTAGAAAGCTGAGGCAGAAGTGGAGAAGGGGCAAAGAACATATGCATTAGCTATATGGATGGAAATGTCACGATGAAACCCATTACATTGTATCCCAATTTTTAAAAAAAAAATAGATATTAAGAATGGTTAAATATGGGAAGCATAAAAATATCTACCCACACCTTCTCATCTTACTATCCTCTGAGGTATTTGTTATGTAATGGTTTGGTGGCTAAAGAAGTTTGGAGAAACCATCTACTGGTTTTTCTGACTTTAGGACAGTCCCAGAGCATACTGGTCCACAGATGATTTTACATGTTCTTAGTGAAGACACTTGGTACTAAGTAACTATGGTAGCAATCTACTACAACTATTCTGTGAAACATTCCTTGGCCGTGGTGTGTGTGTGTGTGTGTGTGTGTGTGTGTGTGTGTGTGTGTGTGTGTTACAGACCTAGTCTAAACCCTGTCTAAAAGAAAAAATATCTTAAGCCATACCAATTCTACCTTAGTCATGATTATCTGCTACTTTAAAAATGTCAGAAATATCTATATTACACATTCTTATCTGGAAGCTTAGGTAATATTGCAAACAGCGTAGAAAGATTGAAAGAGTCAGAAGTGGGGAGGGCTTCTGGGAAGCAGTGTTGTCTGAGAGTGACCTACCTATCACACTCAGGAATTCACAGCAGCTGTGGTTGTCCATAAAACCTGCCCAAGAGCAAGCTGGTATGGCTGCTGAGGGAGGGTCATTTTCTGTAGGGGTGGGTTTCTGGTAGGATGTCAGTGGTTCTGTGACCACTCCATACATAACTGGGTTATTTAAAGAAGAAAAAAGGAAGATAAAAAGTCAGAAGTAACTGGAGTTGGTCCAGGAGAGGTAGCAGAAGAAGAGGGGGTGGATTTGATGAGAATATATTGTATACATGTAGGAAATTCTCGAAAAAGTAAAAAGAATTGTATTAAAATCATTCTTAACTGAGAGTTGTTGACATTAGTAGCAACACTGGGCTGGGTGTTGGTGGCACATGCCTTTAATCCCAGCACTAAGGAGGCAGAGGCAGAGGCAGGTGGATCTCTGTGAGTTTGAGGCCAGCCTGATCTACCAAGCTAGTTCCAGGACAGGCTCCAAAGCTACAGAGAAACCCTGTCTTGAAAAACCAAACCAAACCAAAATAAAACAAACTAAGCAAACAAACAAAAACAAACAAACAAAAAACAAACAGCAACAACAAAAACAAATAAACACTGAATGAAGACTTCCCTTGGGACATTTAATATATTGTTAGCTTCAAAGAGAGAGGAGAGAGGAGAGAGGAGAGAGAAGGAGAGAGAGAACACAAAAGCAAGCACACAAGAGTTGCACACTGAAATCCATTATGAAATAAATTATTAGGAATAGTCTATGGTCTACATGACAGAATTATTCTGGCATGGATATTCTGCCCTCTATCTTAAGGCTACCATCTACTACACAGCTCTTTTATCTATGAAGATTGCCTGAGAGCGAAACTGACTCCAAACCATCTTCCCTCTGTCTGAACTTTCTAGGGTACTGTTAACCTGAATACTTTGAAAATCAATCTTATATGACCCAGTGTCATGTATAGAGTTTTTATTTAGCTTTGATAGAGCTTTTTGCTTTGTGTTCTCTGGGAATGATCTCCTTGCTGTTAATGTCCAGTTTAAACTGTGGATGTGAAATTCTGTATCTTTCACATTGCACTGTTCACATTTCTAATTTGTCTTTTCCTTCCAAACTTTTATATCATTAAAGATCTCAAGGTTTCTTTTTTTTCTATTATAGCTGACCTATGAAACTACAGAACTTAACTTGAAGATACTTTCTGCTGAAAGTTAAACAAACTCAAGCAAGCTAAAGAGAAAAAAAGTTTCCTCTTGCCTTCCAATGGGGAATAATTTACAGATAAGAACTTTGCCATCTAATGCTTTTGCAAATGTGCATAATAAAGTGAATGATACCAGAAATCCAGAGACTGTCATGTCCCACAGCACGAGATCAGAGCAACAAGCACTAATGACCGTACTCTGTTGGCAGAACTTTGATGACTGTTGTGCAGTGAGAGGATTCAAACTTTCGATCATGAGGAGTTAGTCTGAGTTCAACTACATGGTCAGTAGTGATGGAGCTGAAAGGAAATCATTTGTCCTTCTGGAATCCCCAATGCAATGAGGAAAGTTGGAAAACTTACCATGACAGTTGGCATCTCCTTAAGGATGGCTCAATTCATGTAACAGTGTTTTTGTCTGAGGATGTGTGTGACCCTGTGAATGCTGATCATGGGGAGATGACAGAATGGCTACCCAGAATTCAAATTTCCTTGTGTGCCTACATAAGGTACTGTCTACATATGGAGGGTTTCAGAGTCAGATGTTCAAGCTATAATGACTTCTTTTGAGCAAGTGCTATGAGGCAGTCACTGTACTAAATGTTGAGAATACAAACTCCTTTAAGATAGAGAGTTTTCTTTCAGAAATGGACATGTTGAAATAGTCAACAAGGTGGAATGGCTGCCTGGTATAGATTATATGCCATTTAAGTGTCATCTCCTGAATGACAGAAAAAGGCTCTGGCATGAGATACAGCATCCAGTGAGTTGCATGTTCTTGGATGGTAGAAGTGTACGTATGTGGGAGAATCATAGTGACATACAAGGTCAGGTCATCCATGTGGACTTCTGGGAACGGTCTGTATTCAGGTCAACTGCTGTGTACTATTTTGGGTAATTGTGTGAGGACTTGTGTGTGTGTGTGAGAGAGAGAGAGGGGAGGAGAGACAGAGAGAGAGGGCGAGGGAGAGAGAGAAGTAGAGAGAGAGAGAGAGAGAGAGATTTGTTCATTTGTTTAAGGGATTGGAATAAAGGCTAACAAATGGCAATGGCATCTTGGAAAATTCTATCTATAAATTATAGCTATAAAATAAAAACCATCTTTCCTGAGTACACAATGAGAACAAAAAGCTATGTGTTTTATTGAATTATAAACTATAATCTTCTATAAGAACTAGAATCCTTATGTAATTTTCTATTATTTACATTATTACCAAAACTCTAATGTGATTATGAACAGTCACAATGGATTTAACCATCCACTGCACCAGGGTGGGAACTTTATGTAGTGGAAACAGTCAATAAGTATACACACACACACACACACACACACACACACACACACACACACACACGACAGTAAAAGAAAGCAAGAGAAAAGGAAAAACAGAGGGGAGGAAGCAAGAAAGGACAGGGCAAGCAGAAGTGGACATTGAATTTGAAACTCTACTCATATTTTTGATAGATAGGAAATTGTGTACATTAATTTGCTAAATTTTAATATTACTTAATATTAGTGAGACTGATTCTCTCATATAAATATACAGAGATACCTTTGTGAGACTTGAAAATAAATTTCATCATTATGAAAGATGAATATATTTTCAAAATCCATGTTCTAGCATTGTACCCACAGTTAATAATGCTGTGTGTGTGCTGTATATTTAATTCTTTTCATTTTTTTTTTGTGTGTGTGTGTGTGTGTGTGTGTGTGTGTGTGTGTATACCAGAAGTCAACACTGCCTGTTTTCCTTAGTCATTTCTCCAAAAGGTCTTCCTTTTTCCACCTTTGAAGCATTGGGGTTATAGGTGTGTACCACTGTACCCAGCTTATTATATGTGCTGGGGATGGGAACTCAGGTTCTGATCCTTGCACAGCAAGCATCTTACAGATTGAGCCATTTCTCTAGCTCACTTAACATTTTTAGTTAATGGGTTAAATGTGATGTTAGTGTGCTGTAAATAACACCACAGACATATTACTAGGAGAAATTATTAGAGATTATAAATATATTTATGATGGTATCTATGGTAAGAGATTAATAGAAATGAATATTCTACACATATTCAGTTGTATATACTAAATAGGCACAGGTTTCTCTCTTTTTTTAAATCAGACACCTTAGAAAAGTGACCTTAAACTTCACTATAATAAAACTACTAGTAAATAATTTATGCTTAGAAAGTTTTTACTGGTAATTCTTTTTAAAATTTTGTTGTTGTTGCTTGTAATTCTTGAACTTAGGTGAATGCTGCCCACCCCATAGCATTATCTTACATATTTATCATATATGTTCCAAACTATAGTATAAAACTGAAGTTTTAGGGTTATAATCACAAGTTCTGGGGAGACTTATCTTAATAAACAATATACCATTTTAATAAGACCTAATTGCCACTATTTTATTACATACAGATTTACATCACTATCTAAAAGAAGACACTAGAACCTCCAGATTTATCCAAGAGAAGTAAAGTAACAATCACCAAGTACCTCTGGACCACTTAAACTGCGATGCTCGCAAAGCTGATGCTAGATGTAGATGGAAAGAACATTAAAGAGACATACTCACCGATAAGATCTGGTCTCCTCTCTGGAGCTCCCCACTCAGGTCTGCTGGTCCACCGGCCAGAATGAAGGATACAAAAATACCTTCTCCATCTTCCCCGCCCACAATGTTGAAGCCTAGGCCAGTGGAGCCTTTGTGAAGAACTACCTTGCGGGGCTCCCTGTAGAAACAAATGGAGAACACAGCTCACAGGGTGACCCCGCTCAGATTCTGCTTTCATTTACTTTTGTGGGAATATGTGGTACCAGCTGATCACCACCTACTACAGGGATGGTGGCTGCCCATCGTAAAATGCATTTTCAGATTATGAAAGGTCCTACGAGGGCAGATATCTGAGTTCTTATTGCAACTATCAACATCCCGTGCAACACCATTCCTGAAACACCTCCAATCAGCGTTTCTTCCACTATTTCTCTTAAAAGAGTATCTGTAGTTGTATTGATCATAAAGTACTCAACCAAACGGAAAGGCTAAGAAATAGAGGAGAGATGGTGAAGGGAGAGGGAGGGATGGGATTGAACCTTGCTGCTGCTGGAATGCCCAGGAATCTCTGAGGCACCAACACTATTTAAATGAAGAAGAATAAGAAGTGGTCACACATACTATTGAGCTGTAGATGTGATGGGAGGCAGGGAAACCAGGTAGATTTTTTTCTTTTTTTTCAAGAAACCCTGGTCTGAAAAAGTGACACCTGGAGGAGGGCTGACAACAGTGAGGATGGAAATAAATGTCTGAGGAGAAAAGAATTTGAAGAAAGATGTGGTAGGGCACTGGAGAAGGCAAGGGATGCAGGCTTGAGAGGGCGAGGCTGGTTCAGCATTTCCTGTCCCAGCTAATGGAGATATTTTGAAGCAGATGGGGACCAATGCAGATTGAGGTTCCCAGACAAACCAAGAACCAAAACCAAACCAAAGACAAAACTAAACAACAAACAAAAGAAAATGACAACAAACAAACAAACAAAACCCACAAACAGCAACAACAAAAACACCTGGGTTAAAGAATCTACAGATTGATTCATTTTTCTTTTCCTTCCTTCTCTCTCTCTCTCTCTCTCTCTCTCTCTCTCTCTCTCTCTCTCTCTCTCTCTAGTTTTCATGTGTGTGTCAATAGCATGCATGTGTGGCGGCTACAAGTATGTGAACCTCAGGCAACAATCCTAAGATACTGTCTACTTCTTGAGGCAGTATTTCTCACTGACTTTGAGCTCACTGATTAGGCTGACTGATTAGGCCCCACAGATTCACCTGTCTCTGACCCCAGCGCTGAGATTTCCAGTGTGTGTCAACATGCCTAAATATTTTTGTGGGTTCTGAGTTTTGAACTCACATCAGATGCTTATTTACTTGGTAACACTTTCCCAACTGAGTAAGATATTTCTCCTGCACACAATTCAATTTTCTTTTAAAAATTATTATTATTTCATTAATATTAGTGTGTGTGTGTGTGTGTGTGTGTGTGTGTGTGTGTGTTTGTGTGTGTAGGCCAGAGCTCAGCTTTGGGAGACAGTTCTTTGGTTTTATAATGGGTTCTAAGGATCAACCTCACATCATTGGGCTAATGCAGTTAGTTACTGTTATGAGCTGAGCCATCTCACCTGCACTTCATTCAATTTTCCTTAACAACAATTAAAAATAATGTGTTCTGCCAGCCCTAAATTTGACCAAGCAGGCTTTCTGTCATCTACCTTTCTCTTCCAAACATCTTAGTTCAAATTACCAAAGTTCCTTTATTTTCCTCTCAGTGATATATGGTTAGTAAAGAACCATCCAATATATTTTTATGGATATAATCTGGAGAGTTTATTTGCAATCACATCTCTATGCTTAAAATGATATATCTATGTTGAACCTCATTATAAGAATGTAAAATGCACAACCCAGCTTAAACTTGAAGTAATATGTGATATACTGTTAGAGGGAAATTGACAGACAGTTAATTCAGTATGTTCTACAAACATTGGGTAGGCACTAACTGTACCAGGCCTTTTTCTAAGTGGGCGGGTTCTCAGAATGTTTTCAAATTATGTAAAAATTCTTGCCATGGCAGATTTACATTCTGATAACAAGCCACAGATCCAGTAAATGAATTTATTAGAAATAAATATTTGGAGAAAGAGAGAAAGCAGAGTGATATACAGCAGTGGATATTAGGCCTAGGTTGTACATACTGAGAAGGAAATATTTGAGAAATACTAAGATGAAAACACTGGTGCTCACGTAGATACCCAAAGGAAAGGTACTGCAATTGGAGGAATTGAAAACACAGAGACCTTAGTGTGTGAGGGTCCTGATGTCACAGAAGAATCAGGATGCCAACATGGTGAACTATGATAGCACTCCAAAATCTTTATCAGACAATTTTAATGTCATTCAGTGTTAGCAAATGTTGATTGTTCTCATTTGAGGCTTCTGGTGTTTAGTGGGACAAGACATTCTGGGTATTAAGTTGTAAGGTGCTAGATCTTGTATCATGTTTTCTGTAGGTAGTTGATCTGTTTAGACACATATGCACACTCATGTTTAATGGGCATTCAGTGATGTCTCCTCAGTGGAGCATTTTCACTCACAGCAACTGTGAAAGTCTGAGAGTTTAGCTCCCTACGGGGCAGGGGAGAAATAGAGAATTTTACCTATTTTACCTCACTGCCAATGGCTGGGGTAGGAACTCCCATATGGGTGCTGATGGGATTACCAGACAGGCATAGGCTTCATAACATATTATTTGTCCCAAATGATAAAATACCATGACTAAAATACACCTAGGGAACGGAGGGCTTATTTTAGCATACAGTTCCAGAGGGATAGAGTCCACATTCACTAGGCATATACTTCCCAAGAATAAACAATAAAGACTGCTGAAAGTGACTCTCAGACAAGCTGTACTCCTACCAGGACAACTTAGACCAGACTCGCTCCTGGAAGAAGCAGAAATCAGCTCAGCTGCTGGAGAAGCTAAGCTCAACTGAGGCACCTGGAAAGATCTCTCCAACCTGTTGAGAGGCCTGAAGACTGTGTAGTGCTCCAGGTTCCCAGCTCTTGTGAGCTGTTACCAATCCTGGAGTGGACTTCGGTGATACAAGTGTCTGAATTATTTCTGCTGCTGGAAATAACCCCTCACCCACACCCTTACCTACACTCCTGTAAATATCCAAATAAACCTCATGGGTACACCAAGATGGACTTTGGTGGTATTTGTACTTCAGTCTTTGTGGGCTTCCTATCTGAGGATAGTAGGTAGGTATGTTATATCTCCTCAGGAAAAGTCTTGGAATACAACAGGTGGGTAAGGAGGTGGGGAGGATTTGAAAGAACTCGGGGAGGGTAAAGGATATGCTAAAAATATATTGTATGAAAAGTTTTAAAAATTTAAAATTTCTCCTCTACTTCCTTGCTAGCTCATCCTTTCCCAAGACCTTAGTAACGGAGAGAAAGGCTTGAATTTAGTGTTTTGGATTGTTTGTGTCTATTGGTAATTGCAGAATGCAGGATTTTCCAGTATTTCTTTTTTAAATTTTATATGCATTGATGTTTTGCCATGAGTGTCAGGTACCCTGGAATTGCAATTATAGTCAGTTGTGAGCTGCTGTGTGGGTGCTGGGAATAGAACCTGGGTACTCTGGAAGATCAGTCAGTGCTCATTACCACTGAAACATCTCTCCAGCCCCAATTCTCCAGTATCTTAACTAGTGTATATAAAATGCAAGAAAAAATGAAAGTCCCAGGAAATCATTACTGCCTTTTCATGCCTTCTCTAAGGCAGTTTGTTTCTTCCTCAGACTCCTTACTGGTTTTCAGAGGTTTCCAGTTTGTTGGTTTTATTATGTTTGAAGTTTTATTTGTTTTTTTTTTTGTTTGTTTTTGTGTTAAAATGTTTGTCTATTAAATAGGTGGGAAGACTAGAGACAAATAGATAAACACACATGTCATCTATTCCTAGGACACACTGTGCTTTGGGTATTTAACAGGAGTGCAGCACTGCAGAGTGGTTGCTGGCTCACATGTCCTTTACCAGAATGTCTGCTGAAGCCCAGGCATCAGCACTCCCCCAACACAGCAAGAGACTTGACAATCAGAAGAAATATAGGAAATGGCTACTGAGAGAATGGACAAACTCCCACAGTGATTTAGGCCTTCACTCAGATTATAATTATTTATGCAAATGTATTTCCTTCTCTTAATCAGGGATTGAAAAATGCACACACAGCAGGGATGATAAAGACAGCTTAAGTGAGTGAAGTAGGCTGAAGAGCAATTGTGGCATATTATATCTATAGAGGGCTGCAACTAACTAGCTCTAGATGACGACTTAAAGTAGGAATTGCATCATTTGAACACTACATCATTGTCCAGACTTCTAAAGATAAACCAAGAACCTAGATTTTATGTAAAGTTTCTAGCATTTTCAATCATCAATGATAAAAAAAAAAGTACTATGTAGTTCCAACTTTAGTGTTCTCTGTTATGGGCCCAGTTAGGGGCTGCCAGTGTGAGATGGCCTTATGTTTTTGTTGCTTTCTCTTCAGTGCTGTTGGGCATAGATGGGATTTAACAACTGGTAATTCTCTGTACTTTTAAAAGTCTACATTCAGTGCCATTTCTAGCCTTCCCTTTTCAATTTTGCTCATTCTAGAATAATCTTCCCCTTTGTTGTATTTTTCTTTGGTCATATTTTTGCCCTTTTTTGCAGTACAATTGGTTAAAGACCTATCATCTTTTTTCTTTTAAGATTCATTTATTATGAATGCAGTATTCTGCCTGCATTCCAGAAGAGGGCACCAGATCTCATTGTAGATGGTTGTGAGCCACCATGTGATCGCTGGGAATTGAACTCAGGTCCTCTGGAATAACAGCCAGTGCTCTTAACTTCTGAGCCATCTCTCCAGCCCCCAAGACCCATCATCCCATCATATTTATGATGACCCATTCTCAAGCATTTGAAGCCATAGTTCTCTTGTCTGCATGTTTACTGTCAAGGAATGCTTCTGGATCTGATCAATGTGATGTCTTGAATTTCTATGAGTGTATTTTGTGTGAGGCACTGTGGACTCCAGACAGGCCACAATCTTCTTTGTTTAGTGTTAGTTTCATCTAGAAGAATGCTCAAAAATACTTGATAATTAAATAAAACCAATGCACAAATTTACAAAGAACACAACTA